TAGTGGCAGTCCACTGGCTTCTGTCAGCGCCTCAGCAGAGGGAAGGAGGCAGAGTAAACCCTGCCTAGCTGAACTCTTGAGGACAAGGTTTTGCAAAGTGAGTAATCTTATTCAAGTAAGATGACAAACACTTTAATAATATGAGCTTGTTCAAAGCGAATGAGGTAAAAACGAAATACCTTCATATGCATGAAGTTCAGTGTCTGTCTTGGACCTTAAAGTTCTCTTCAGGGACATCTCATGCCTCAGGAGAGACATAACTGCCAGCATGGGCCACACTTCTGAGGGCACCAGCTCTGCAGCACAGCAGCAGCACAGGTTAGCCATTGCCTTAGCAGTGTGTTTAACAGGTGGAAGAGTGATAAAATGCAACATTCTTGAATTACACTCCCCATCTGTGCTGCTTGTTCCACTGCAGTTCCTTCCCAGGCCTGCTTCTTCCCCATCCCAGGTAGCTCTTCTGTACCCTTCTCTCTGCCTGCCCGGCCCCAGGCACTACCTCTCATGCTTATCCCCTTGCATATGCCCTGCTTTTAGACCTAATCTCTCTTTTTGAGCTCCATAAACCAAATTTCTGCCTTTCCCTACTTAGGTTCTCTTCTTCCCTGCCGGGCTCCTGCCTGTACTGCTGCTGCACCCTGTTTGGTTTGCACACAGCCCATCCCTGTTCCCTCCTGCCTCCAGAGCTACCCTCAGACATGTCCAGCCATTGCCCAAAAGTCTGGGAAGTCAAAGTTTTTCAGAGAGAAGCTAATTATAATTGTTGCAGATGGATTAATACGGATTTTCTGCTTCCATTTCTCAGAGTTACTTGAAATTATTTTGGTGGGGGGATTAGTAAATGGTTCTCACTAATTGTGATCTTCACAAAAAACAGCAGTAGGCTCAATCCCCTGACCTAGAAAACACGTGCCCAACCCCAGTGAATTTTGCAGCATTACAGGCACCCAAAAGCATTGTTTTATAATGGTACTTTTGGTAACCATTTCAAGGGGCTGACACCATCCTGTGGGCTGGCCCTGGCCTCACAGCCCAGCAGCAGTGGCTTGCCATGGTGAATGTTTGTCACTGTAATTCCTCTACAAATTATCTGGAGCCAGGATTTTCTAAAGCTTTTAAGTGAACAGGATACATTCAGTCATCACTGGATTCTGAATTAAAATGGGATTTAAACGTCACTGCTTGAAAATCCAGGCTTTAAGATTGCAGATGGGTACTTCCTTTGAACAGTCTTTCTCTTTCACCAGCACATAAATCTATGTGGCTGTATATTGAGGTGAAAATGATTTATATTACATTCGTACTTGAATTCCTCATAATCTTTTCCTGTGCTTTCTGGTGCTTCATACCAAACAAGCAAAATGCAAAAGAAAATGCTCTAGCCCTTTATATAAATCTAAAACTTTTAATATATATTTATAGTGACACCCAGGTATCATGGCTGCCACACTGACACGAGATTGCCTCTAGAGAAAGAAAGAGACAGGTTAACCAGAGACTACCTTTTATTGTGCATTTTTTTATGCAACAGAACAAATGGAACTGGAGGTATGTAGTAATAAAACCAATATTCAAATTAGAATCAACACCTGAAATAGTAAACTGTAGGTAACAAATGTCTTTATAATTAAAAAATATTGACTGTTTAAAAAATTCTCTAAGATTTTATATTCTTTAAAAGAAATGTGTGTTGCCACATAGAAAACAATTCACACATCCTATAGAAATAGTCACAAAAACCTTACTAGTCTATATTACACTATGCACTTTTGTTTTGTACAATATCTGATAAAGGTCTATCCCTAAGCTGTACTTACTCTACACAGTACAATCATCATAAGAAAGTATTCATAGAATTAACTACACCATAACGATAAAAATATCAGGATTAATGTTTTTTTTTAATCACAGTTTCTCCACAAATATTTGTCATAGAAAATATAGCGAAGGCATGTTGGCACAGATGGGCGTGCGGTGCTGCTACACAAAGTTTGAGAGAAGGCAGATACATAAATGACAGTAAGATTAAAGCATATGGAAGGATAAGACAAGAATCTCTGTCCTCCTGGGACTTCCTGGAGTGACATGATAGATAGCGGTTTCCTTCTGTTGCTGGGAAGGGATGTGCTGGCTTATAAAGCACACTGCCTAAATATGGATATCTCCCTCTGCAAGGGCTTATGTGCTATCTATTATTTCAGGTCCCATATCTAACATACTGCAGATATTTAGATGCTTCAATGTGTATGAATATATAACACCTAATGAACAAATTAACTGGAAAAAGCTGTTGTGCAAGGTTTGGGATTTTTAAAATGAAATGTGTGGGTCAAGTGGCCACGATGGCAATCGAAAACAGACAACTGACAAAAGTTTTTATACTCTGTTATTTTAAAACAAAACATGAACAAAAATATGAGCTGGTGTTTGTTAATGCCTGTCTGTGACCATGATTCATGTCACTGGCCAGTGCACATAAGCAATTGAGGACATAATTTTGTTCATAAAGAAAGGTCCAAACCTGCAAAGCCACTTCTACTGCCAAAGTGGCTTTCAGGGTGAAATTATACTTTTGGTTATTTTGCACAATGAGAGTAGCGGATTGTGAGTGGCTCCAGGATGCTGGCTATGCTTTTTACACTAAAAATAAAGCTAGGCTTACTAGTTACTTCAGCAAATCTTTCAGTTATTAAGTGAGAGGTCTGTCCAGTTCAGTAATTCTGTTCTGTGACTGTTAAAAAGTGTTTATATCTTAAACATCATACAATTAAGCATCTGAAAGGAAACCATCACAATGTTTACAAAAACACAGCATGATACATATCGCTGTGGACAAATTTACAGTATAATGTTGACTCACACGTTCTGACATGTTTTACCAAATAGTTCTGGCATGTGTCACCACATTAAACATAGACCAGCAAGACTTACACCATCTGAGCAATGTAACATCTTCTATTATAGTTCTTTTTAAAAAAGTGTAAGTTCAACACCGAAAAGCTACTATAGGATATCTGTACTGTGACATTTCTATACACTGAATTTCTCCTCCGGAGGCCACCACGTGGTGTGACCGCTCCAAGAAAGTCACCTCCTGCCTGTAATGAAGGAATGCTGTCACAAAGGTCTAGTGAGGTCCTTTGTGACTAAACTGCTAGTTGACTTTAAGAAAATAAATTAATTATTTTGGGGCCAGTGAGTACCTTTCAAACCCCTTTCAAAAAAAAATCACCAAAATTAAAGTGAACCCAGAGGTATTGGAGATTTGAGGGCCTAAAGCATATGGGGACTGAGCGAGGTCCCCTCTATGGCAGCGCACGGTGAGCCCGTGTCCCCAGATGCCCCACGGGCTGGAGAGACCTGTCACAGCCACAGGCAAAGGAGGCAGAGGGCAGGAAGGGGCTCCTGGGGGGGTGAGCTCAACTCGGAGAGACCGCCCAGCCCTGCAGCCAGGCTGGGCCTCGAGGAGCACTGCACCCCAGAGAGCCCGTCCTGGTCCCTGAGGAAGGGACCAGTGCCTCCTGCCTTGCCTGGTGCTTGGGGAGAAGGTGGGAAGGGAGGAGAAGGGCAAAGGGAGCCATTAGTAGCTGCGCTCGTGGCTTGCACAAGGCGGTGAGGAAAGCTGGGGCAGCGTGAGAGACGCGTTCAGGAGAGTCAACGCTGATGAGGTAGCACTAGGGATGGCAAAAGTGAAGTGAGCTTTCTTCCCGAAAAACAGCTCCCTGTACCTGCCAGTGGGGAAATGTTGCCTCAGGAAGCGCTGGTTCAGGCTGTGGAGGATGCCAACACCAGCCTGAGTGAGCACAGAAAGGTAAGGAGATGGGAACTCTGATGTGGAAAGGAAAGGGCATCATTTCTTTGGCATTGCATGTTTCTGGCATGGATCAATTTAGAGGGACAATGGACTCCTAAACATTTAAAATTGAACTGTTTTTGTGGATTGACTTGTTTTTAAAGCTAGTATCTGCTTCCAATGTTGTGCATCATTGCAAATTCTGCTCCAATACTCTTTTCTTACAGCTCTCAGTCTGGATCTCATGTCTACCTACTACAGAACACCAAATCAGGTTCTTCTAGCCCAACCCCTCCCTGAATGCAACATTGAGCAAAACCAGCACACTGCCTCACCTCTTTCAAGGAATGGATATAAAGCATAAATTAAAGTGAAAACAAGAAAAGGCAATTAAAAGCCTCTAAAGCTATGTAATATGGCTGCAGAATAGGAACAGACAAAGGAAAATCTGTCTTCCGAAATGGCAATTTGTTTTTAGCAATCTTGTTTTAATGAAAACTGTCATGATCAACTCTAATCCTCTAGAAATCTAGATAAATATACTGTCTATCTGATATACAATGCAATTTTTATCTGTTAGAAATGCCTGTTATTGTTCTGGGTCTTTGAAGGATTCTGCTGTTGATGAGTGCTGCTGTTTTACTCGGGAAGCTTAATTTCCTGACAGAGTTGGCTAAGAAAGTCCCTGGATTTTCTGTCTTGTGTGGTACTTTAAGGTAGCACTTACAATTATGTTCTTTTCTGTTAGCAAATGGGAAACCACTCTTTTTTTTTTTTTTTTTTTGCTGTAAGTGTGCAGGCTTGTACAAATCTTCTAGTCAGGGAAAGCAAAGCTGTTCTGAGTCCAGGCCTGGGATTGTTATCAATAGGCTGAACAGATAGATAGTAGCTGCTGTTTCTTTTGACACTTCTACAGTTTTTAAATGACCTTTCCTCTACAACTGGATGAAATGGACTGCACGTTTCCTTGGAGTGAGCTATGAAGGGTTTGGAAATAATAGGCACTGAGAAGTCCCGTAAAGCAGGTCTTGAAACGGATTTCTTTCTGTTGACTGGGATATGGTAGGACGGAGAAGCTGAAATGTATGCAGTGTGTGTTCAAACATGCTTTGGACTCCTAAATGACAGCAGGGTTAGGTATGTTTAACAAACAGTCTCTCCTACATTAAGTGGTTGCTACTGCAGTACAACGTGGTTCTCACTGCCATCAATCTCCAGACCCATCCTGCATCCCTCTGTTGAAGACCTCGTCCTGTGACCCTGGGTGGTCAGTCCCCTCGTAATACGAGCTGCCATTGTGCAGGAAAGTCCCCACGGCGCGGCCCTGGCGCGCGTGTCCCACGGCGTCGCTGAACACCTTGTTGATCTGCTCTTCAGATGGCATCCACCAGTCCGGGTTGGAGGTACAGTGCATCCTAATGAACTCTGCAGGAAAACATGCAAGGATTAAAAGCAACTTGTCTTTGCAGCATCTGGTATTGCCCAGGTGTCAAAAGCTCATGGGAAATAAGAAAGAGGCATTGCTGCTCTACTTAAGCAGAAGTAAAGCCTTATGGGGATGCCATGATAATGCCACTTGGACCTGTTGTATTTCTGCATAAGTGTGCTTCTCCACATGCAGTGTATGTTGTTACACCTGAGCTACCTAGGTGACTCATGGGACCTGGATATAATATCCTTTCTTGTGGAAATACAAAGAACTAATTCGAACTGAGGGCTGTGATTCAGCATGTGCAATATGTGTGGAAGCTAACACGAGCCAGGACATATTTCATTGTTGAACCTGTTGGTATCTATACCTCAAGGTGATTGCTGCTGGATCTTTCTGACCTCCCTCTGCTGGCTCCTTCAGCACCTGCAACCTGCAGGAGCCCCCAGCCCGCTGGAAAATGTCACTGCCATTATTTCAGTTTGGTGCTCCTGTCTGTTTGGGATATCTTTCTTTTAAGTTCTGCTATTTTCATCTCCCTGTATTTTACACCTATTTTTTCAGAGACTAATTTGGCCTTAGAAATAGCTAAATGAGATCAGAGAGCTGATGTGGGGAGCCTCACAATAGTTTTCAATGCAGGAGAAAATGAATTGTACCACATGCATTTTAGCTATTTAAATAGCTGCTGCTGCCACATACAGCTATTTGTATGTGATGATTACATTTTTTATAATTTATTTTTCAGATTCTTTGACGTGCTATATGCTAGACTTGCAGAAGGTGCCCTGCCAAATCTGGAGTTGTAACTGCTAGACATGGCTCAAATAGGTGTGTTTGGATTTGGAAATATCCAAATATGATTTTAAATGTGAGGGCATCTTATTAGAGATACTGGATACACTGTACCTCATATAGAAATGGAGCTGCTTATTTATTCTGTAACATTAGTTATTCCCTCATGCAGCATTGTGTGTCCCAGGATATTTTTAAATTCTATTTTCTACTGTTGACAAGCCAACAGCACAATAAGTGGTGTAAGGTAACTTCATTACTGTCACCACATCTCCAGACAGGGAATGCTGTGCTTTTACATGAGTTCCCGTGCCTGCAAGGTATCTCATCTGTTGGACAATTAGGATGTGATTTTTGCATAGCTCCTCCAGCAGTGTGTCTGCAAAAGTGATAGCGATCTCTGTTTTAAATTCATTTCCCTGGAAATCCACACAGGCAACAGTAATTCCTACCTAGTTATGTTCACATGTGCCCCCACACTCATCTTTTTCTCAGAGAAATGGTTACCATGTAAAGAAGTAATGCTGTAATTTAAGCCTGCCAGGATGTTTTAAAACTGGCTCCAGACACCAGTCAGTTGTAGGAATATATTAAAAATGTTTATATATATTTAAACTCTGAGTGCAGACAGAGAACCAATTTGCACTCTCTGCTATGGTGTAAAGGCACAATTAGCTGGGTTGAGAATTAGTCAGACACTTGTTACTTGGCTTGTAAATGAGTAGGAGCTAGTGGCCAACTCTCAGCACTGGAGAAAGTTGTCACGTTCCCACCTCCACACAAAGGCCCAAGGGGAGAGCTGTCTACTCTGCTTTCTTAGCTGGTCATTACCTACTGCATGTTTTGGCTTCCTCTTCAAGTTTCTGATAATTAAAGAAATTGACCTTTCTCTTTCTCCCAAGGAGTGCTCCCCATGCTCTGTGTGTTCAGAACCTCAAAAAGACAGTGGCCACAAGCAAAATTCCATGTTTACTATTAGTCTTGGGAGGCAGGTGAGAGAAAGGGGAAGAAAAGGGTATCAGCACTGTGCTTGTGCATAAATTATTAGGTGATACTTAAAATAACTTAATAAATGCTGAAGTACTTGTTTCCAGCCTTCATTTTCCAGGAGAACTTCTGGGTCCCTGACTCTCTAGATCTCTGCAGCATAGTGTATGATGGATTTGTCCTCCAATTTAGCTCTGGTAGAGTCTCATACAGCAGCTTAAAAGATTATTTTGTAGTACAAAAAGTGCTTGTTTGCCTAATTTATGTAAAATCTGAGTTCATTACCTGGTTACATCAATATTGTACCCTAACCACAAGTCTTATCTACTTAGCCTTGCTGGATTCTTCTACCCTAAATGGGAAGAGGCCCATATATCTGATGTGTATAAACACTTTGGACTCCAGTTGGATGAGTGAAGATATTTTTATCACTGACTGACCACAATATAGCTTTTTACATTGCATTGATTAGTAAAACATTGTTGAGGTTAGTTCAAACAAAATTTCATGTATGTGCTCAAAAAATACTATAATGTTAACTGTGAGTTAATTAAAGAAAAAATAAGCATATGCATTTATACAATGCAGGTGTTGAAACTAAAAACATATTTTTACATTGGGTTTAAAAAGTCCAGTTTTGTATGTTTTATTATAAAGCTTGCTACCAGCCTTTTCAAACAATTTTAGGAAACCAAAGTACACAACATTCTTTGCAATCTGTACCCTTTCTGTGCAATATCCTCACTCTCTAACATTGTGAAATGCTTGCAAAACTCCCCTCCCTTTTCAGGCTAAACATGGGGGGAAGCTGTTCCCTAACATTTTCTGGCAACGTTGCATCAGTATGCCAAAAAATAAGTTAAATTCTGGACAACACACTTATGTATACTTTGTAATTAACCTGAAGATATTCTTGAACCTAGAAGATGTTTCCAAACCTACTCTGAAACTCTGCTTCTATCTCCAATGATGCACTGTGTTCTTGTGCATCATCCTTACTAGACATTAGACTGTAACTATTCCTTTGGTTAGTTTTGCTGTGTATTGGTGTTAACAAATTACCTGAACTTATTATAAAAAGAGTGTAATCAGGAATGTCTGGTTTTGCTTCACTGCTTTTTAAAGTGTATTAGTGTCATGTGCCCTTGCATTTGGGTCCTCTCTTAAGTAAGAGGCCTTGTTTTTTCCCATCAAAAACACCCCAAACACATATATTATACATACATACACACTTGCATGTATGTATGAAAAGAAAGTGGAGGGTTTCTGGGTGCTTGTCACCTGCCTGCGAAACCCCTTCTAGTTCTGCCACTGTCAGCCAAAAATGCTTCTACTGAGCCAGAGCCAATGTGGTGAAATGAGATCACATATGGTGGACACTGAGCGAAAAGATGCAGTACCTCTGAGACATGTTACTTTAACTGGATCCAGAGGACGTCTTTCAGGACCTGTCTCTCCTGACTGCACTGACCTTTTCCTTTTCCCAAGGCCGCATGAGTACTTAAGCTCATCGGTTGTGAAAACAAATCTGATGAGATAGCGAAGGAGCCGTCGTCCATCTTTCTTGGAAGAATTTACAGCCTCATCCCACTGTTTACTAGTGATGTAGACAGGGTAGTTGTTCAGCAACTGCTTACTCCCCTGAAAAAGTCAAATATTTTTGTTGCTTATTTTGCAAGGCAAGTAAGTGAAGATGTCAGTTGCAAAAAGAAATAAAAGAAATGTTTTTAACTATCCATGATCCGAAAGTGAAACACAACCCAAAGTGAACATGTAATTGCTCTTACAGAGAATGAGTACTTCTGAAATTACATTTCCATTTTCTAGAACTCAGATGGAGTGAGGTACAATGAATAAGTTTTGAGAGGTGTAGCTATTGATAATTTACATTTTCACAAGCAGGTTAAAAGAGTTAAGAAACAGCAACTGGGCATACTATTTAAGTGTAATATTTCTTCTTAATATGGTAAAATGCATAAAAAGGGTCTTTGAAGAGCCTGATCAAATGGATCACTTCATCACGGCTCATAGTTTTCTTCAGAGGTGACTCTTTTGGTCTATTTTTATAGTAAATTTATTACTTCTGTTGAACACACCTGAAACTTGACAGCAATTATGTTACTGTGAAAAATGTAAAGAAAATAAGTAAAGCAACTATGAAAACTAAAAGCTTCATTATTATTAATGAATGCTGTATTAACTCAAATTATAGCTTTAAAGAAATGCCACTGTGTCAGCTGGAAAGAAATTTTGCTTTTAACCTTCATAATTTGTGTGCTTCAATATTCCAATATTAAATGAATGCTGTGGGACTAATTATGGGGATTCCTGTAATCCACACACATTTATAAGCCCTCTTAAGTCAATTGTACCTAAACTGTATTTAATTCTTGTTGCCCATAAAACGCTATAGTTCAGGATTACCCAATTAATGTAAGATGGTACTGTTAATATACTTGAAATAATTGAAGTACACAATAAAAACCCAAACCACACCCTCCTAGAGACTCATCCACTTTTACAGCTGCACCTCTTTATCAAAACACATAAATCTGGTAGCCCAATTAGTGAACTATTTGTGCAGCCCTCAGGTTTGACAGGAGCTTGCAGTGAGCTAGAGAAACACAGGTCTGATGCTCAGTGAGGTGCTCAGCCACATGCCACACTTGTGGGCAAGTGCTGCAAAGTTCTCACTTCTCACAGGCCTTTGATATCTGAAGACTATTTTAAGGACTACCTTTGCCTTCTTTCACATATTTATTATAACATCCTGGGAGACAGCTTGAGAGCATCTTTGAAGTTTTTCCTCAGGTATTTGCTTTTAATTTTTTTGCAAGTTTGATAAATATATGGAAGACTGAAATTAGTGAAGACTGTGCTGAGATTATCATTAGATAATCTCTATGATCTAGAGTCACACCACCTCCCAGTGGGGTTAGCATCACTGGGGGCTCAGCCTGTGTGGCTGTCTGCTACTTCTTTGCCTTGCAAGGACAGCTATGGACAAACCCAAAACACTGCAAAGGAAGCCAAAATGTAAGGGAAGAGATGGGTTTTGTCTGTCTGAAGGGCCACTCCTTCCCCAAACACCTCAACACTTCACTCACTCCCCTGTAGCTGTAAACTCAAGCTCTCACCCCTAAGAGAAAAACCTTTCACCTACAGTCTAGCCCTGTTAAATTTGGGGCTTCCTCTTTGCACTTCATTATCTCCTCACGTCACTGCAAACAGGTCAGGGTCAATTCCTGCCCCTCCACTCCTGACACAGGCAGCTGCTTTAGTTTTTGCCCATACATGATCCCCTGGGAAGCCAGTAATATGTCTGAAGAGCTCTGCCACGGAAGAACATTTCAATCCATGCAGTCCAGCTCCTTGTCCTCTTCCAACACTGTGAAGGAGCTGGGGAAGGAAGAAGAGCAGAGGGGCAGCATGGACAGCTCTTGGAGGTAATATATTCTTAGGCTGAAGTAGTTGTGACCACTCTGTCACAGGGGGAGCTGGCAGGAGTACTCCCTTGGCTTGTTCCACTACATCAGTACAAAGGACCATGTGATCCTCATACTGGTATTTTACATTTTTTCAGCAGCTACCTTCACATCTCTTTTATATAAAGTAAGTTATTTTCCTACCTTTAATCTCTGAAACCTATTTTTTTCCTATTAAAAAAACCCTTTAGTGAAGCCATGACCATTCTTACTGATACCACTGCAAAGTATAAGCTGCAGGTAACTGCAGGTCCTGCCTTGCTTTTCAGCCCTGCCAGGCCTGGCTTATGCAGTGCAAGCCCACAATGGCACGGGGTGAGGCTCCAGGCTTGCTCATGTGCATTAAGAACAGATGCTCACGGGTGGCTTTGCTAAGCAGCAAGCTATCCTAGAAGCTATTCTGTGTTTATATATATAGCACTGATGAAAATAGGGTGCAGAAAGGCCCAGCATCTAGATTTCATGAGAGCTCACATTGCTATTAACTGAGGAGAGGGTAATAAATTTTGCGTAACTCCTCAGCCTCAATTTTATAACACTTCTCTCTTGTTCCCCCTGAAATGTAGGATGTTTTTCCTCATTCTTCTCCAAGGCATGATATAGTGTTATGCTACTCTGTTAAACAATTACTGGATTCCTGCTACAGACACACTTTCATTGCTTCCTCAGAGAGTAAAGCACTTCTGGGCAAAACACTCTTGCTAAATATATGATGTGGTTTGGTGTGTCCAGCAGTCATTAAATGAAAACAAACATAAAATCTCCCAGAAATGAAATAAGCAGACTCTGAAGGAAGAACCAAAAATACAAATGCATCTCTGCTTGTATTTGTACATGATGAAATTTATGAATAAAAGATTCAGATCTGTGCATTTAATTTAATAAAAAATTCTGCCACACTGTGACAAGCTATTCCTTGTGAGACATTGCAGAACAGCCTCAGTTTTTACAGTACTTGAAAATTTTAGTTAACCAAAAGAGCATTAAAAAAAGGAAAATGAATCCTTGGAATTTACTTGAATGATAGCAGCTAGTGATAAATATAAATATGTATATATCAATTTGCACAGGATAAAATGCAATGGAGGAGCAAAGTGATACACACTCTGAACTGCTGCAAGCCACATGCAGCCACTCTCAGTCATGTCACTAGGTAGCCCTAGCCTAAATTCTACCCACAAATACGGTGTTTCTGAAGAAAAACTACCAAAAGCAAGGCAAGCACACCTGGTGCTGATGGAGGGAGTTAGGTGCTGCTCAGTAAAGTAATTCTAGATTATACTAATGATGTGTTTCCTCCATTTAGGGGATTACTGTACTTAAGAATGACAGTTTTTAACCTGTTTTTACTACTAAATGCCTACTGATTTGTTTGCCCACATGTTTGTAATGAATGATCAAGCACAAAGAGATGTAGCTTGCTTTCACTGTACACTACCTCGGTTGGATGGTCTGCTGGCTGTGGTACCATAAGCTGGTTGTGATGCTGAAGTACAGTCTTCAAATAATCTAAAACCGTCTGGCAGGGCACTGTATGAAACAAATTGCAATTACTGTGTATTAGCTATAAAGCACAAAATAGAACAACAGTATTAAATCAAGCAGTGTTCCTTAGTATCTCTGTTCTATGTCTGTGAGATTTGTTTCAAATAGGAAATACTTCTCATTTTGATTTGTGAAGGTATTTCATTTAATAAATGTACAAGTATTGTATTGCCTATACTGAGATCTCTGAAATTACTTTTATTTTTCTGCCTGCTAGTTTTCAAAGGGTTTTTTTCCCAAGTTTGAAATTATAATTACTACAAATACAAATTAGGTCAGCAGTAATGATACTAAGAAAAAAAATCTGTAAATACCATAAAAATCCCAAACCATACAAATGAGGAAACATTTATTGGACCTAAATAATGCATTGATTAACATGTAAATATGCTTAAATGTTTTTGAAACTACAGTCTGATTAAATATACTAAAGAAATTCAATGACTGGTATATTCCAATCTCTACTCCCTCCCTCCTCCCAAATTTATTATAACATTAGGTGTTAGGCAAATTGCTTTACTTCTCTTTGCCCTCATCCTCCCCCCTTTCCATTCCCATCCCTCTTATCCATTTCAGTAGTGGTACCAATATCCTATTCCCTTCTGTTGAGGTGATAGGTTAATTAGGGATGATTCAATTATGGGTCTCTCTTAAGCAGATGCTGCCACATCCCTGATTAACTCTGGAGTATTTTTGAAATACAGCTCTTTTCTCCTGAGCCTGAAACACCATAGGAGAATTAAACAGATATTAATCCAACATTATAACTGACTTGTGCAAGACTAAATAAGCATAGTTTTTAGGGTACCTTATGACTTTCACATTTGGAATGGGTTGTTTTTTGAAGTATTCAGATTTAATCGTCATTTCAGCTCAAAACCCAGAAGAAAAATTTATATTCATTTTTTTTATTACTATTTCTTGGCATTTTATTATTTCTTTACACCTGAAAAAATGTGGTGTTTTGGGCTTTATCTTAAGCTGGCAATCTGAAAGCAAGCACTGAAATACCTGAGAATGTCTGAAGGTAGGATTTATGGGTATTTTTCCCTCTTTCCTTGGCATTCACACAACCCAGCTTACTATGCCCATCTAGGCAGACAGGGTGCAGAACAAAATCACTCTGAGCAAAACAGACCCTTTACTGTGGGACAAGAGGAGTTACATCCAGCAGTCTGCACACAAAAGTCGTGCAAAGTGCCTGATATGATGAATAAATTTCTGTGTTATTGCACCCCACATTGACTTCTCTGTAAAGACAGCCCATCAGTGTATTTACTCCTGCTTCTGTTTTTTCACACAGTAAGTAATCTCACTGCAGGCTATCCAAGGATGTGTTTACCTATGTTCTTCCAAGAGGATGGGGCTCAATTGAGAAGACAACAGGAAATTACTTAACCTGTTGTGTCCCCAGCAGATGAAGTGCAGCTCTACTTGAACTCTATGCTGCTGATAAAATGCCTTCTCATTACCACTGAGAAACATGAAAGTACTAAAAGCTGGCCAAAGCTTATAAAAACTTCTATCCTCATAAAAGCAGCAATGTTTTGAGTACAACATTGTTTGATTTTTTTAATCATTGTAGTGACTGGAGGATGCTGATCACTTCTGACTTTAAAGCCATGACACAGCACAGTTTGCTGTTGATACAAATAACCTCAGCCTTTGCTACTTGCAAATCCAGACTTCCTGGGCTGCCATATTATCTGAAGCCTAGAAGGAACCACAAAGAGGGCAGCACATGGTCGACAGTCAAAGCTCTGGTTTTGCTGCTGTGTCCCTCTTACTGCTCTGCAGATATTCTCTTTGCTGAGAACTGTTTCCTCCAAACCCTTCAGGAAATGGAACTTCGTAAGAGCCTGGGGGTCCCAGCTGGGAAGAAGAATAATCATTTAAGTCTACTAGTTTACTTATTCTGTTTATCTTTGATGGGGCCTCTACAGGGTTAACAAGATCATAGCCCCATGGGCTGATACTCTGCATGCTTACGCAGCTATCCACTAACAGGACATCACCAACAGGAATTTGTTCTTACTCTACGTAGTGGGAGAGACACCATTTGTTATGATCTAGCAGAAAGCCTGTGGGGAGGCAGTAATTTTCCTGCCCATTAGGGAAGAGTTTCCACAGCTTTTACTTTCTGAAAGTGCCAGCGTTTCAGAACGGACACTGGAGATGGCGAAGTAGCCCGGCTTGCAGAGAATGAAAGGGCAAGGTCTTTGCAGGAGCTACAGGGCAAAGAGGAGGAGGAGGAGGGCCTGCAGGGAACCTGGTGTGCCAGGGAAGGCTGCTCTGGCTAAGATGCTAACCAGGACACATGCAGGAGGTGGCAGGTGTTTGCTGTTACCGATCCAAGTTTAAGACATTGCTGTTATTCTAGGTATCTGCATGTTGTAACAAGTGCTTATTCAGCACAGCCTGTCACAGCTTTCTCTGCAGAGAATCCTAATGTCTAATGAATAGTTGAACAGTGACTGTGGTGGTCACGCCCTGTGCCAGTGACAAAATCCAGGCTATGATCTCTCAGCCCGAGCTGCCACACAGCACAGCAACTCCTTGGACTAAATCCTCCTTGCAACAGACAGCATCAGTGAGTAAAACACCGCAGAACTCAAGTAGTCATCTCCCAGTGATGCAGTTTCTACCCACTGGAACACAAACCTTATTTCAAGTCTGCATTTTGTTTTCCTTCAAACTGGGGTTTACAAAATTTTTTGGAAAAGAAATGGAAAATGCCTGTTACTTGTTACATATTTAGTGGTGGTAAAGTAATTTCTCCATTTTTTCTTTGCTAAGCCCAACACTGATCTTCCAGAGGTGCTGGGCTCCTGCCAAAAGCAGAGTCCCTGCACCTCCTTACGTGTCTGTACAGCTGATGGCCGCGGGTCTTTTGGCCATGCTGTGCCTCAATACCCAGGCAGAAAGTCACTGTGACCTCCCAAAGCCTTTCTCAGTGCACTGAAGGCACTCAGTGCCTTTCTCAGTGCATTTCCCAGGGGCTGAAAGCAAGCAGAGCTGTGTTCTCTGTGCCCCAATACACAGAGATCGGCCAGGGCTGTCACCTAGCATCTTCCTCTCTCACAGCTACCTCTGCACCTCCTGCAAGCTGTAAGCAATGACTGTGGGCTCATGGATTAAAGTATTAAAAACATGGGCTGTGAACAGTTTCACAAAAAACATCCCTCCAGAAATTCAACTGCATCATGGCAGTTTTCCTGAATGCAAAGATATTTGTGTTTTTAAATCATGTTTTGTAATTTAATGTTATGTAACACCCTGAATATCTGCAATACTCATCAACCAAACTCTTCATCTCATCAAAACCATAATTTGGCAAGATGTAGCCTGGTACTAATGCCATTATTCTGGTTTAGCACTCTATTAATTGAAACTGGCATCAGCTGTGCAATAAGTTTGTCTGGGCTCAATATCAGGCCAACAAAATCACTGTCCTCCAGGACATCTCACATCCTTTTGAAAAAAATCAGATGCTATTTCCATCCTTCAGTCTTCTGAAGTGTCCAAAATATTACAAAGCATAAAGAAAAATTATGGTCAGAATTGTCTTTTTCATGCTGGGTTTAGCTCCTGAAGTGAGTTGTCCAAACCTCATGGTTTTGAAAACATCACCCTTTGGTAGCAGCTGCCTTGTGCCTTTGGTAAAAAGTTGATGTGTATTTAGGGAGGAAAAGCTGCAGTGCCCAAACAGCTACTGCTCTTCAGTGTCCCAGCACGGGCAGGCAGCTGGGACAGGCAGCTGAGGCTGCAGTCCCACATGAAGCTGCTGATAACACACAGAGGTACAATGGAAGTGGAAACTATTTCTACCAGCTTGCCATCATCACTATATTTGTGTGACCGCATCATGCTACCCTTCACAAGTACCAGAACAGAAATATTCAATGAACAGTTCCATATTATTGATAAAATCTGCTTCTGTCTGATAATGGTCCAACACTGTTGTTAGGATGTCATATTTTTCCTTTATCTTTCCAGGGAAAGGAAACCTTCTCTAGACAATGCTCCACATTTAATTTTAACCATTAATTTACCACTGACCCAACTGCTTTTTACACATCACCATTAACTTCCCCTCGAATCTATGTGTTATGTTTCTAACTCTTCCTTTACTTTCCCTCTAAACTGGTTGGTTTTGTAACCAACATTATACTTTTCCTCCCAGTTAGTCTTTTGGGGCCTTCAGTGACATGCTTTTAATGTTTCCCAATTATCACCCACTCTTTTTTCTTTTTAAACCTTTGCCTCTGATAATTGCTTCCAAATTTTTATGAAGGGCCAAGAACATCCCTACTATTGGTTTGAGCTGGGTTTTTGGTCACTATAAATGTTACTGGGACACAATCACTTACACTGGTATCTGTCAAAATGAGAACTCTCATTTATCCTCCCAAAAATGCAGCCTCCAGTGTAAAACATTCCAGGGCTGTTTACATTGCCAAAGCACAGCGCTGTGAAGAAATGCTTGGGCTTGCTGTAAATACGGCACATCTCCAAGGTAAATAAAGTGTATCTCCAACCTCTCCTGCAGCATCAGACAGTCCCAGTGAGAAGGGATGGCTCATCCCCAGTTTGGCTGCATGTCTCTCTGCAGTGGTCTCAGTCCCATAAACAGACAGTAAGAAATCTGGTTATTCTGTAAATTAACAAGATTTTGTGCTCTGTAGCTGACACTGGCTAGTATTCCTCTTGGTGCTCTGCAGAAGATGAATCCCTCAGCACTCAAGACCATTTACCTCTGACTCACCAGAGGGGAGGAAAATTGGGAAGGGTGTACATGTACACCCACCCTGCTCAGGGCAGCATCTGCTAGCTAAGACTGGCGCAGCACTGCACCGTGTCCTCCTTCACTTGACCTTGAGCGACGCTTCTCTCCGAGTTCATTGCAGGGCATTTCTAAATTGATGCTCGACTGTCAAAAAGATGTAACAAATGATAGGGAACGTGCTGACGAACCACAGGGCTGT